GGCTCCCCTGCCCTGTCCCCACCCGCAGGCTACTGGGAGGCGCCGTCCCGCCGCGAGGGGACTCAGAGGCCCAGCCCCTCTCAGTGGTCTCCCGAGGTCCCTCAGGAGTACCCTCAGGCCCCCCTCAGCCATAAGCAGGCACACTTCTGCCGGCGGGGGTCTTCCCTGCGCCCACTGTCCCGATGTTTGTCACCCAGTGGCCAGAAAGAATGTCACAGGAACAGCGCGGTGGACAGCCCAGGGCACCTGCCTCCGTGTCCTGGAAAGCTGCTCACATGTGCCCATCTGGAGGGGGCGGCGGGAGGCGCCCCCCACGCACTGGCACAAACTCACAGACATGCTGGGTGCTGATCGTGGGCGCACTGGAGCCCTTCCAAACCTGTCCAAATAGCAGAGCCCTGGGCACCGGGGCAGCGCCTCCCTCTCTGCTCTGGCTTTAGTGCCCAAGGACCCGGCCCAGGACCCCAGCTTTAGGCCAGAGGGTCGGGGGCAGGGAAGCGGCCTTCCAGGACTCAGAGGGACAGGACACCCAGCGGAGCGGGCCGGAGGAAGGAGGGGCTGACCTCGGCCTGCAGGCGGCCCGCTGGGGACCCCAACCAGGACTGTGCTCCGGGACACTCTTGGGAGAGCCCTGAGGGCTGTGGGAAGACACTGGGTTCTGGCCCCTGATGGAGATGTGAGTGCCCCCATGGGAGGGGGAGGAACACCAGCCAGGTGACTCTCACGCCCTGTGTCTGCCGGGCCCCTGTGGAGGCTAGGGGAGCCTGGCGGGGGGAAGTATCTAGCCATGGGGGGAGCCCCTAGGACCCAACCCTGCAAAGGCAGAACCAGGGATGCAGCCTACAGAGCCAGGCCCAGACAGGAGTGCACTGTGCCCAGTGAGGACAGGGGTCTCCTCGCCATAGCGCCATAGCATCAGGGCTGCACCCCCCCCCCAAAACCAGGAGGCGGCGGCTGATCAAAGCCAGATGTGGGACCAGTCAAAAAAAACGCTGCTTATTTTGACTAGGCAAAGCCCTATTTACAAAGAAAGAATGAAGTGATTTGTGGGGACTGGTGCTGGGGACAGTCTCAGTCGGGAAGGAGCAGGGCAGGTGCTGGCCCACAGGGGAGCGGTCCTGGCTGATGCTTCCTGGGCTAGAAGCCCTGGGGTCCCTGAGTCTGCCTCGGGGTAGCCAGGCCAAGCCCTGGAGGGGCGCAGCTTCCTCCGGGCTGGATGGGTCAGAACCTGGGAGGGAGACCATGGCTCTAGGCTGGGCCGGGGAGGCCAGAGCAGGGCGCTGGTTGAAATGCAAGGGCTTCCCTGAGGTGGGGGCACCCCCCCAGCTCTGGGAGGGACGGAGACCTTTGTCCTGACAGGACTCAGAGTCAGTGACAAAGATGGGACAGGCACCCACACACACGGCGACTTGGGGAGCCGTGTACATGCGTGCTGGCCCCCACGTCTGGGAAGAGGATGTCCCAGGGACAGAGCTGAGTCTCCTTGGGACCTGGGGTGCAGCATCTAGGGAAGGTGAGGGGGTTCCTGGGGCTGAAGGCCTCCTTCCTGTGCCAGCCTCACAGAAGAGAAGCCCCCAACCCCAGCCTGACACTGACTCCAGCAGAGTTCCCGGGGCCCTGCAGGAGCCAACCACGGGTGGCGTCCCCACTGGGGCCCCAGAAGTGGGGACGGTCTGTGGACATGGCTCCATCTCTCCAGAGCCTTCAGGGACTTTCAGGGACTGATAAACACCCTTGTGGTGATGAGGCAGCACCGGCCGCACATGAGACATTCCAGACTAAGCACCGGGCCTCCCCAAGCGATGATAACACACATGCCAAGCATTGTCCACAGACAGACAGATACACAGCATGCGGCCCGTGCACGCAATGGAGTATTACTCAACCTTAAAAAGGAAGGACATCCTGATACGGGCTGCAGCCCGGGTGGACCTGGAGGGCATGACGCTGAGTGACAGAAGCCAGGCACCGACTGCCACACGCTGCAGGCCCCAGCACCGCGGCGTGCCCAGAGCAGGCAGATCCAGAGCCGGAAAGCAGCCTGGGGGTGGCGGGGGCAGGGCGGGGAGCAGGGGTGGCGAGTGCTGGCAGTCAGGTGCGGGGGCCGTACGGGGGACAAGGACACGCTCTAAGATTGACTGTAGAGATAGACAACCTCAGAAATACTGACACACCGAAAGGCACGTGTGCAATGGGGATGGTCGGCCATGTGAACTGTATCCCAATAAAGCTGTCTGAAAACAGGAAAGAATGCCCCTCGACCAGCTCTTCTGCCCTGTGTGAAGTCAGGACCGGCGGCCGCCAGCTCCAGCGAGAGCAGCGGCTGGTGCCAGAGGTGCCTGGGCCTCACCCGGACCCCCCCTCCCCGCCTCAAACTCCCGGGACAGGACGGCGGGGGGCTCCTGTGTGGCCCAGCTGACGAGCCGGGCTTCGGGGTCACCGGTTATCCTCACGCTCGCTCGCTCGCTCGTTCACTCCCAGGGTTAGGGTCCCATGAGAGTCTGGAGTGGGGCAGGGATCCCTGATTTCTTCAGGTTCCTCTGTGTTTTAAGACCTGGGTGGGGGGGTGGGAGGAAGCACTGTGTCCCTGGGCCCAGGCCCCCTGCTAGGGCTGCCGGGGAGGGTGCGCAGAGGCCAGAAGACAGGGGCCCCCAGTAGGCAGTGACCTCCAACTCAGCCGGGGGTCGGTCCCGGCCACAGAAACGAGTGGGTCTCCCCCCAGCAGAGGGGCCCGGCCAGGCGGTGGGGCACCTGCAGTCAGTTACTTAAGCAATGGCTTGGAGTAGAGATGACAGCGCGATGCAGCCCCGGGGAGACTTTCTGGCCCTTGAAGAGGAAAACCAGACGCGGATGGAGAGGCTTTGGCCAGATGGGTTTCCGCTCCATCCCGGAGGCCCTGGCGGCGAGGCCTCACCTGGGGCTGCTGGGGGGTCTGGGATGTGTCCCCAGGGGCCACAGGCCAGGCCTGCTGCAGTTATAACTCACCGGCACAGGCCCGCCGGCTCCAAGCAGGGCTGGGCGCAACCCCAAGGGGCCGGGAAGGCGGCTGGCTGGCCCCAGCCCCCAGCCCTTCCCCTCACAGGCTCCGCCGGCTGCACCCTGGGCCTCACGTTCCCCCGCGCCTTGACTCGTGACCATACGGATGACGGGGGCTCCAGGGGGCAGTGCTGTGGCCTCTGACTTGCCCCCTTGGGCCATTTACTTTCCCTTGAGCACTGGCCCGGGGGCTTCCCCACAGGACTGTCCCTGCAGGGAAGGGAGCCGCAAGCCCACTGGGTCAGGACCCTCCCCTGTGCCCAGCCCCACGTGAGGCTGCCCAGCAAAGCCAGGCCCATGGGCAATCCCTGTCCCTGCAGGAGAGGACAGGCTGTGGGGTGGAGAGGAGGTGCTGGCCAGGCTTCAGTGGGGAGGATGGAGCGCCCTTCTCCGGTCCCCATGCCCCGGGGTGCAGCGGGGACGAGGCTGCTGGGACTGGAAGCCAGGACCGCCACCTCCCAGACGTCCATGGAGGGGGAGTCGAAGTCTCAGGGAAGACAGCTGTGGGGGCAGAGGCCTTCTGGGCATTAGGGGTGTCAAGCAGCTCCGTGCCTTGGGGTGGGGGTGGCAGTCCCCCAGCCGCAGGCCCACTGCCTGCTCCTGGGCGTCCTGCAAGACAACCCTTCCCCTGCCCTGTGCTCCCGGCTCTGCCTCCCCTCCCACCAGCCCTGTCTTGGAGCTTCTCTGAGACCACAGCCCTGGGGGGCTGAGGGGTCAGGATGCTGCCACTGGCCCCCCTCCTCCCCAGCAGTGACCAGCAGACACCCTTGCTGTGGGGGCGCTGGGGGCCCAGGCAGGGCAGTGGAGGGCCAGTGGGCGGGGAGGGTCCGAAGGCCGAGGCCGGCAGAGGCACGGGGGCCGTCTGGGGGAGTCTGGGGGACGTGTGGCAGATGAACAGTGAGATCTCTCTCCTGGCCTTGAGTCGGGGTCCTCGGGGCCGCGGGCCCCATGAATTATTTCTCTAAGGAAAATACCACTGGCCCCACTCCCACCTCCTTCCCGAAACTCCCCGTCACTTAAATCAAGGCTGTGGGGTGGAGTCTGCCCGAACCGTCACCCTCCAGGCCAAGGGAGCTTCAAAGGCCCACAGGCCTGGTGTTGGGCCCCTCGGGTGGAGGGGGTGGCCCAGCCAGCTCCACGCTCTGGCGCCCCTCGTGAGGCCCCGGAGGCGGCCCTCAGTGCCAAGGCTCCAGAACGGCGTTCAGGGCCTGGGAGTCCCCAGGCTCCCTGCGGTGCTGCATCCCAGCCCAGGATCACCGTGGCCTAGGCCATCGAGCACGCCGACCAGGCCCTCTTGGTGCTCCCGATCTCGGGCCCGAGCTCTCAGTATCAGGACCCCTCGCAGACACAGAGATGGGCTGGGCTGGGTCCACGCTGCGCCAGCTTCTTGGGGACTGGGGGACCTTTAGTGCAGAGCCTGACTCAGAGACGACCCCTGGGGCCGCGGCCACCTCCACCCCCGCCACCAGACGCCCTCCCTTCCGACGGCCCTCCCCCAGCGCTGATGCCCCCTGACCACCCTCTGTTTCCTATCTTCAAGACTTCAGACCAGCAGTCTTTCCAGATCTGGTCTGTTTCCTGCCTCCTGCTCCACAGCCTCCCCCTGGATTAGTCTCCTGAATACCATTTCCTTTGGATCCCTCCCCCTCCAGACCACCAACTGTGCCAAAGTGGACCCTCAGCCTGGATGGGCTCCCAGGGCCCCTGTTCTCAGCGTCACTCTAACCCCCTCAACTTGCCACCCCAACTCAAGCCTTTAAGCGGAACTGCTCAGGGTCACCTCCTGGGGGCCTTGCACAGGCCTGTCTCCCTGCCCCACTGCAAGGGGGCTCCGGCCTGCCCGCCTTGCAGGCCCATCGGCCCCCACGGTCCACTCGGGCCCCTGCACGGTGCACAGTGGCTTCAGTAGAGGCAGCCGTCGTGGGCGGCAGGGCACGGGGGCGAGCACACACAGCCGGGGCCAGTTCTGCATAAGCGGCATTTTTATTCGAACTTTCACATGTCACGGTTGCCCGTCACAGGCCGAACCAGCTGGGGACGCCCCCGCGCCGGGGGTCGGGGATCTGCCTCTGCCGCTGGTCCTCCAGGAGCTGGTCCCTGATGTCATCATGGTCCCCAGAACTGCCCTCAGGGCTCTTCTTCTCAGGAAACAGATCTGGGAACGTGAAGGTCTGTCCATGCGCCTGGGGAGGAAGGATGAAGGCTCAGCCCAGAGGGTGGCCTGGGGCTCCCGCGGGTACATCCACGGGCCGCCACGTGGAGCCACACTTCCCAAGAGGAGCAAGGACAGACAGGATCCTCCTGCCCCTCGCCTGCAGGGAGGGCGCCCGGCCAGCAGCCCAGGTGCAGTGGGAACGCCAGCGGCGGTGACAATGCCCCCCTCACCGAGGTCAGCACTTCACACGGGGCGGCGGGGAGCAGCCCGGCCGGACTGGGGCAGGCGCGAGGAAACGTGGCACAAATGACGTCTGGTGCCTCGCTGGAACCCTCTCCACCCAAAATACCTAACGGCCTCTGCCTACATTAAAGACCACCCCTCCCCCTGGCTCAGAGCTCGGCAAATAAAACTCATGTAACGCACAGAGAAACATGCGTGTGCAGCAGTCTATAAATCAAGACCAGCTTTGCTTACATCTCTCGCTCAAAGCTCAGAATGCGAGTGTCGGCCAAGCGCCAGCGCCGGCCCCATGCGTGGCCGGGGTCCCCGCCAGGCCCACGCTCCTTCCCGGGGCCCGAACACGAGGTGAAGTCCCACCTCCACGTGTGACACATCACATCCCGAACAGTCCCAGAGATGGGGGGCTGGGGTGGGGGACACAGCCCCTGTGCTCAGACGGGCGGGGTGGAGGACAGCACCCCGACCTGGAAAGTTTTAATAAGCAAAGTCAGTGAAGGGCGCTTGGTTCTCAGAGACCCTTGTTTTGTAAAGAAATTTGGATTTGGGCAGGCGGCCAAGTATGACCTGAAGCAGCCCACATACTCCGCCCTGAGTGGAAGGCTTATAAATCCTGGTCACGTGGCGCGGCGCGCAGGCCCCGCGTGATGAAAGGCAGCGGCTGTGTGCTCGGTAGCCGGCCTGCGGGAGGACTTGCTCACACGCTTCAAA